TAGTAATAAAAATAATTTAGTTCAGTAAAAGAACAGACACTACAATTAAAAACTGAACGTGGCTGCTCAATGCAGCGGGCCGAACGACAGTCGCATCACAGATCAGATTTAATTTCTCCAGTGAGGAGAGGGAGTCGAGCTGACTGACAAGAAGAGTGAGGCGAGACACAAGACGATCGCGGATGATTTAGTGTCGAAACGAGATGCAAAAGCTCCTGTTTGGCAGTATTTTGGATTTTGAAAAGCCTGTTGACTTTTGCCGTTTATCTAAGCTGATTATGGAAGTTTTTTTTAACATTCGTTTCTTATTTAATTGGTTCTACATTGTTTGCTGATTTTTACTTTATTTAAACTGTCTCATTTATTTAAATTTTTTACATCAAGTGTATGCCGTGCCTCCAAGCTTTCTTATTCGTTTTGCTAATAAATGTTCTACGTTTCTTATTTATTTGGTTATATATTATACATGTTTACTTAGCCTATTTTCAGTTTTGTATACCTATTTAAACTTTATGCAAGTTATTTTTTATTTTATATTAGGCATAGCCTGCCCTATAGAATAGTGTATTTGTTTTGTTAATGAAAGTTCTATGTTTTATTTATATATATATATATATATATATATGCATGCTAAAGTGAGTTTGACGTATTTTGATGTTGCATTCGAGCAATTGAAGCCGAACTGCCGCTAGTTCGAAATGCACATGACGCTTTTAAGCTATTTAAAAGCGAAGGAAAGCGAGGAAAAGTGGGGAAATTCAAACGAACAATTGCTTTATGCCGAATTGCCGCTAATTTGAAAGTGAAAGTAAAATGCCGCACACAGCTTTTACAAGCTATTTAAAAGCGAGGAAAAGAGGAAACGCCCCTTTCCCCATGTGATATCGGTATCATCGGTGTTGTCATGCGTAGATTAACCGTTGGGAAAATTTCCTCACCGTCACAACCCTAGTCGTTATGTGCTCAGTTACTGTAAGAGAACATATTGACATGCTCTTCCATTCAATTTATTCCTTAAATTTTCCTTACTTGGTCTTAAAAAGATTTTAGTCCTCATAAATCCTGCAGAAACCCTGTATTTGACCACTGAATTAACCAATCTTAGATGCATGTTCTGAAGAATTGTCTTAAAATACATTATTAAAAAGCTTTTTGTTGTAGTGTCAAGAATTGATTACTTTTACTGATTTAAAAAAAAAAAAAATTTATTGGTAGTACCAAATTTTGATATTGTGACAGCACTACCTGATTTCAGCCTAGATGTTGGTCAATTTTAAAATGAGTTTTCTGATCAGTTTTTGAATTGTTGCCATCAGGACATTCAAGAAAGTGGAGACTTCCTCATCAAACCTGAATCTAAGGTCGCAAGATTGGACACGTCTCAGTGGCCGTTACTGCTGAAGGTCGGTGTCTGTTTACCCATAGATCCTTTTGGTCAAGCGCACACGTGGCGTGATGAACGTGTTTATCCATTCGCTGAGCGCTGCTGGTTCTGTCCCTCAGCGGCCGTGCGGTCCGTTCTGGGTCGCAGGGTCACAGCTGTCTGGTTCTGCTCCGCTGGTCCAATGTTCTTTTGGGTCACTGGCGTGGGATCTGATGTGCTGGTGCGAGGGGTCAGACCGGTTCTGACAAAGATGAATAGACGTGTCTGATCACGCGTGTCACTTGGGTTTTGATATAGTCGCTTCTGCTTTGTGTTCTTGTTGTGACCTATAAGCCTGCTTATCTACAGAATTTCGATAAGCTCAACATCAGGACGGCTCATTACACTCCTCTGCCTCATGGCTCGAATCCGCTCAAGAGGAACATACATGAATATGTCAGGTAGGAAATCCTGGATTAATAAGCTATAGGGATGTAACGATGCACATGAATGAAGATATGTGACGGTTTATATGAATGTCTCTGAGGGGAACCGACTGTCCTCTGAAACTTTAGATGGTATTTTCTTTTCATCTTGGCTCTGTATAATGCATATTAAAGCAGTGTTTATAAGCGCTGCGCTGCTTTGTTTACAGCGATAACCAAGGAAATGCTGTATCTGCTGTTCCATGAGCGCCACCTGCTGTCAGAGAGTGAATCTGCGTCATACAGTCCCTCTGCTGTTTTGGTTTCATTCAGATGTTTTATGTAGAATAGTTTCTTAAAGCTAAAGTCAGACTCAAGAACTGCTCATGTTGCACGTATGCAGCATCTTTGTTTGGATCGTGAGTAAAATGCAGTGGTTGCCTCTGATTTTAAATGGAAAGAGCACAGGCAAAGCCTTAGCTTGTTTATGTGAAGAGATTTCTATTGTTGATTTGGGATTTGTTTTAATTTCTAT